CCGCTTGGCCTGTTCAACGGTTTTACTCTTTTCGTCCAACACCTCTTGTAGCTCTGTCAGCTCTTCTTTATGTGCAGAAATGCCTTCTTGCAAGTCAATCAACTCTTGTTCAACTGCCTGTTTACGTTCCTGCAATTTAGCTAGGTTGACCTCTTCTGTCTTCACTAAATCTTCCAGATGTGACAAACGCTCCTTGCTACTTCGGAGTGCTTCAGTCTCATATTCTAACCTTGTGAAAGTAATCATGATCAAACAAAATTGTGGCAAAATATGTTCCACGTTATACGCACTGATGAGTTAATCGAGCGATTTGATTGTCGTATCTTAATCGAGCCTCGCTTTCTTCTTGAGCCAATTTAAGTTGCCTTTCCTCGAAATAACGGATATTTTCAACTCGTATCTTTCTACAAAAATCAGTGAAGACTTCATCTTCCGCCGAGTTGACTGCTTCGGCAAGGGTTGATATTTGTTCTTGAAGCTTGCCGTGTTCTTTCTGTGCCTACGAACGTTGAATCAAGAAATGATATAAACATTGAGAAGGTGAATAATATTTTTACTTTCTTGAGCTCAGGACCGTTCTTCTGTATTTCTCGGTCCAAATGTCTTAATTCCTCCTTCAAACCAGAGAGTCTCGTCTTACAAGCGCTCTAGAAAAGCGGCGATCAACTAAGAAGGAACAGGCGTGAGTGAAAGAGATATCACAACGAACCAGTTCATCCCTTGCAATGGTAATATAGGATTCCAGCTGAGAAATTTCGGCGATGAAATTCTCATCCGTCTTTCCTCTCGGTTTCTGTTTGCTTAGATCTCTGAGCTTAGCCAGCAGTGAATCTCTTGACTTTTGTAATCCCTGTACGTCCTTTTCATCCCACTTCTTCTCGCCGCCGTGGGTACTGCGTCCACCGGTGATGAGACCACTCTTATGAATAATAGTCCCTTCCAAGGTCACCGCTGAAGATTGAGTCCATTAAGTTCTTATCTGTGATTTTACTGTTCCCTGAAATTTCACAGACCTTTGACCTCCTGCCCCTTCTCGTAACACACGTATTTTGCAACATCCATTGTATCACAAACAAGCGCATTTCCACATGCGTGGTGCATAGCTCGTTCAACGGCCGGCTCGTACTGAATCACATCGACTGCCAGTCGTGCACCCTTTGCAAATGATCGAAATTTGTCACTGATTGGCTTTACCTGGATCGTGTCAAGGGGGATGAACGTTGCTTGGCCAGCCCGTTGGTTTCGCATATACTATTGGAACAGAAGCAGAGTATCAGAGAGAATCACTAGTTTCTAAGAAATAACCTGCACCTCAATACAGTCGATTGCCGTCTTCTCTTCGTCGACAACCACAGCATCAATGTTTCTTCCGAGGACCACCGAAACTGCCGTTTCGTATTTTCGTTGAGAAGGCTTACATAAGTCAATGACTCTGCCTCGAACTCCTAACAGTAGCGGAAAGTGTAGGAATACTCAAAGCGTACTAACTGGAAAACATACCTGGGAAGATTCTCTGAAGACTTGTCAGGGTGTCTTTGAGCTTTCGTTCTCGCTCAGACTCGTTCCTGTCAACTCCCGCTTGCAAGAGTTGCTGATACACACTCTGAAGCTTCTCGTTCGCTTGTGCTTCCAATTGACTGTTTATACCAGTCATCATTACCCTGATCAACATAACTAGTTGAGAAGGGTGCTCACGAAATCTTTGTACGCTCAGATTGCTGATTCTCTAGTTCTTGCTTCTTGTTGGTCAGTTCGTCCTGGAGCCCGGCAATCTTTTCCTCTAGCTCGGTCTTCTTTGTTGTTTGACTGGCGATCTCTTCACTACGAGAGTCGCGTTTTTCTTCGAGACCTTGGTGTTTCTCCTTGAGCGCGTTCAACGCTCGAATAACAGCCTTCTCTTCTCGCGTGAGCTTGTCCAGCTTTTGGCGTTCTTCGATCGCAAGAAGATTGGCCGACGTTTTGCTAGAATCATGTTAAAAGCCAAGTTTTCCAGGGAGGAAACTTAATCACGAACAGGCTCCGATATTCTTCCAAAATCTCATCGCTAAGCGCGAGATTGTTCTGGGACATTATACGTTGGGCCTCTACAATGAGATGATTAGTATCACTTCTTTGCTTCATCTAAACGCGTACCCTGAGCTTTATCTGCATCTCGTTTGACCTTCACCAATTCAGCTTCTAGGTTGTTCACTCGATCTTCTAAATCACTCTGCGTTTTGGCTACATCTTGTTTCGCCTTGTTGGCATTGTTCGTCTTTCGGGTAGAGTGCGTAATCTGAGCTTCGACAGAAACGAGGTCGGGTCTCTGTGGAGTTAAAATTGTTAACTAGTTTCACCCAGCCTGTACGAACATACGTACCTTGGAGTCCAAAGCTTTTTCACCCCTTTTAATCTTCTTTTCCATCTGCATTGCCCCTGTACGAGCCCTGGCCTGCTCTGCTCTGGCTGTTTCCAATGATTCATCATTTATACGTTGTTCTTCACGCTGCCGGTCTAAATCCTTATTCTTTGTTCGTATTTCATGCGCGTTCCGCTCGATGGATTCTTCCACGTGGTAGAGCTTGAACAATATTCTGTGCAAAATGAGCGCGTCCTGGTATCTGTCAGAGATGTACACATATCATAAATGAAATGCTGCTTACTCGTTCTTGCTCCATTGCTTCAAATCTTTCAGCCTCGCCTTTCTGTTCCTTGTACTGCTTGATTTCCCCAGCAATCCCACGTCGTTTAGAGAAGTTGAATGTTGCATTCTCCGTGGCTTTGTCTAACTCCTCCTTTGCCTTTTCATACTCTGCCGCGAGCTCCAAGCTCCCGCTGATTTGTTCGACTAATTTCGACAGTTCTCGAGGCGACTGTGATGCCACTGCCTCTACGTCACCTTGGAAAACGAGAAAATTCTTTGCTTTCACGAGAATGTTGTGGGTCACGAGCGCGGCGTTATAAGCAGAGTAAGTCACAACGCGATTGTTCAGCTTGTATTCCGATGCTCCAGTAGTAGATACACTTCAGAGCTCGCGTTATTGATTTGAAAATCATAGAGAAGTATGGCTACTCACGTTCTCTGAAACGTCCAATCCTTGCCTTCGACATCCAGATAAACAGCGGAAACCCATGCTTTCTTCGCCGTTCCATCACCATCACCATCTTCCTCATCTTCATTATCCATAGCCATAGAGCCATCCGGGTTCTCTCTTGCTAGCCGTCTTCCCCGATACACAAGATCCTTTAACTGAGAACTCCGAAGTTGTGCACTCTTAACCCCCAGAACAAATGAAATCGCGTCCATAAGATTGGATTTCCCGGCGCCATTGGGTCCAATCACAGAAGTAAAGCTCTTGAAGGGGCCAATAGTTTGATGGCCTCTGGAAGAATTTGGTCAATGGATAGACAGTGACAAGACTGAATGCGACCGACCGATAAGATTTGAAATCACAAACTTCTATACGAGCCAAAGGCATCCTAGAAATGCCTTAAGGGCCGGAAATACTGGCGGTAACGACTCTGGGAACTAGAGGAATAAGAACAAGAAGATGATGAGCAACGGTGTGCGTGCATAATATGCACGTGGGGCTGTTCGATGATTACTTACTCAATGTCATGATCAGTGGAACCGTGCCAGGGTACAAGTACTGAAATTTACCCTTTGACTTGCGAGCACAGTGATTAGCGAAGTTCTCGTGAAATGTTGTCAAATACTTAATTAAGGTGGCACCAGATCTACTGCAGTTGCAGCTGCAGAGTTCACGATCGTCGATAGTCTGTGTTCCACGATAGTACAACGATATTAGCGCGCGCTTCTTTACTTCTCCTTCCACATGTTCAATCCACTTGGTCCTCCATTAGACGTTTTAACAAGGACCAAATCTCAGTCACGCCCGGTTCACCGTTCATCCAAATCTACTCCTCAGCCTTTGGAAGCTGCCAGCCCCGCTGGGCGTGCAGCCATCGCTTTGGAATATGCCTCTTTGAGGAATAGGTCGCATTGTCCCCTCGGATTATACGTTGTGCCTGCAGTAGATACGATATTAATTTGGGATGCAGTTCTCTTCATCCATCAAGGTCAATAATCAATATCCTTTTCAGGCTCATCAGATATGTATTCAATCGTTGTGCAGGATATTATGCGGACTCAATTCTCAAATTCAAACTCACCTTTCCTTCCAACTATCCTGAGCGCCCTCCTACAGTGCAGTTCATAAACGATGTATTCCATCCGCTGATATCTTCCAATGGAACATTCTCTCTGATGCCTCAATTTCGAGCATGGCGGTAAAAGATTCCCGTATCATACAGTGACCGAAGTATTTTCCTCATCCTGTTCTGTAGACCAAACCAACACCATGTCTTTGATGTCCTGCATTTTATTAAGGCCGCGTTCAAGAGAGATGTATTGGATAAGATAGAGGAAGCTGATTGTTTGAACAAGGAAGCTTACAAGTGAGGGCGTCAGCCTTGTCTGAAACCAATCGGAATGCCGTTAATCATTCTCCTCCAGATTGTATGTACTCGAATTAAGCTCTTCCTGTGGATGCAACAACGATTCTCGATAGATATCATGAATCTACCACTTCTTTTGCTGCCCTCGCGACACAGACTTCATCCCTGTCCCACTCCGACACCGCTCTGTACGAAAAGGACCAGCTCTCTTTGAAGACGAAACCATTGCATGCCATGCCCTTTTCCAAACTCAAGGTGAAGACGTTGAAGGAGGAGCGTGAGAGGCTTGGTCTCAAAGAGTGGAAAATGGATCAGTGAACACAATGTGCTCCTGTGAGTCCAATCGGTGTCTTCTACAGAGCATCATATTTAAACATCCACTGAAAAACAGGGGACGTAGCCTTCACATTCTTAGGAGTCCCGATCAGTGTCGATATCTTTTGTGGTGTACATATCAAGTAGTTGCCCAATAGATTTCATCTCGCAATATCGCCTATTCAGGTCTTGGGTGCTCAAACTTTTACTTCCGATATTGATTATCATTATCACTCCAAAGTTTTTATGGGCGTATGGTCTAGAGGTATGATACCTGCTTTGGGTGAATGTATATCCAGTTGCAGGGGGTCTTCGGTTCGAATCCGGATTCGCCCCATCTTTTTTTTTTCTTTGCTCATTGCATCAACTACTGAGAAATGCGCGGCAAGACACTATGTACACTGTGATATTTTCTATATTTACATACACATATTTTAACATTTGATAAATGGGTCACTACAACTTTGCGGATGGTGATTTCACAATATACGCAATACCACCCCCCAGAGCGTTCTAGCAGAAGATCATTGGTCATAAATTGAATGCTATCCCATCCGGAGGAAGAGCGTACCTTCCCAGTCCTGAGATTCTTTGTAACAAAAGTGACTTCGGTCGTCCCATTGGGACCAGGACCAACTTCCCAAATCTGTGTCTCAAGCGCATCTCCAGGCTTGACTGGTGACGTGAACCTGACTCCAAAGAGCTTGAGCGCCTCGGGCTTGTTGCCACAAACTGTTTTCAGGAGACCACGAGCTGCAAATCCGAACGTCGATAGGCCATGAAGAATAACGCCTCCAAAACCAGCAGCTTGACCAATCGCTGGGTCTAATAGACGCCTTAAATCAGTTTTTACTGCGAAGTTCGGATATATTGTAGTGTTATATACCAATGTGAAGAGGATTATAGTCCCCCGAAAGCCGAAATATAAGGGCTTGATGAGTCGATGTCTCATCTGTATACACCCAGTCCGGTTTCTTGTTTTCAGGGATGGGTTTTGCCTGGGGCGGTCCAGCGATTGTCTTGTTGAACTTGTTGCCAGCAATCTTCATGCCGATATTGAACGACGAGCTCTGTGCGCAAAGCACCTGAATTGAGCGCGAATGTTAGGTCTTATGCTAAAGCTCACGTAAAGTTTAGCATATGCGACATTCTTCGGGTCTACAAGAGTGCTTTCCGCTGTAAGGACAACGCCGGTTTCTGGAGATACGAGCAATATATAAATGGACATTCAAACATGCCTGAACGATCCGCACGACTTACTATTCTCTGATATACCCGTATATCTCGTCTTCCATTTCCATCCTGAACCACTGACGAGGGGCAAAGCTTTTAGCACTTCTATAGATTGCGATCCATGTACCTGCAAAACCAATAAGTGATCTACATGTCTGAAAAGCAAAGATTCATACGATTCGATTGGGATCCACCCGAGGCATTCCAGGAATATTGTCGCCTTTCATTCGATCGGCGAACAGGTTTAATTCTTGGCTGTCTCCCTTGAATGTTAATACAACAGGGTATGTAGGCAGTGCGGCGAAATTCGGGTCTACGATAAACTTGTCAACGGTCCTGGGCTGGCGCGGAATCATAGTGCTGTACGTACTTAATTCTGTGATGTGTATTCAATGACATGCAAACTATTGTCAGAGATATAGTCGGTTTACCGTAGACGAAAGGAAGGTCATCTTCAGTGTTCTTTGCTCCGACTCCCAGCGCGTAAAGTATCAAATCTCGTTTGAACCAAGTTACCTGACGACCCAGGATTGGTTACTCATCGCGTGGAACAAATCTGGTCACTTACAGGTCTATCAGGTAGCTGAAAACCTATTACTTTTTCTATCTCTGAAGACATTGAGGGCAAAATTGGTCGTTGAAGTGAAAGCTAATGAAAGTCTACGTGCGGTTATCGGCGAATGCATGGACCGGTTGATTTGCTCACGCATCACGAAGCACGCATGTGATCGTGAATCAAGCCGGCGCGTCTCGCGTCGTTCGAGACCATAAGAGTTTCAACAAGCTATGTAAGTGCAAAAACGAACAACCTCTCACAGTGTAGCAGTTGTATTGAGTACAAGTACATTCTCTTCATACTGCAAGTATTCTACAACGCGGCTAGGATAGCCTGAGCTTTCGTGATATATGCAATGCCACCTCCAAGTGCATCCTGTAGACATTGTTTCAGCACACTTCACACTCAACCTGACCAGGAGAAACATACCTTTCCACTTGTAAGGTTCTTTGTGACAAACGCTACTTCGATAGTACCGTCCGGGCCAGGTCCCACTTCCCAAGCATGCGTCTCGAGAACATCACCAGGCTTTACAGGTGAAGTGAACCTTACACCGAAGAATTTGAGTGCTTCTGGCTCGTTATATGCAATAGCATTCAGAAGCGCCCGGGCTGCAAAACCGAAGGTTGCCAGACCATGCAGGATTGTGCCGCCAAATCCGGCTGCGCGCCCCACTTGAGGGTCTAGAATAAGAGTCAGACGCATACACAACCTCTCTGGAGGGTGACGCAAATACCAATGTGAAGAGGGTTGTAGTCCCCAGAAAGTCGGTACAAGAGGGCTTGATCAGAAGCACTCTGTTGTCTCACCACCCAATCAGCTTTCCTGTCTTTTGGGATGGGTTTTGCTTGCGGAGGACCAGCAATCACTTTAGCAAACTTCTGTCCAGTAATCTTCATTCCGATGTTGAAGGACGAGCTCTACATCGATATCAGCGTAGCCAAAGTGAGCCATTGAACAAACTAGCAAACTGGAAACGGGACTCAGGTAACTTTAACTTACGTAGAGTCTAGCATAGGGGACCCCCTGAGGATCAACGAGAAGATTTTCATTGGTGATGACAACACCACTTTCTGAGAACATTGAACACATTCACCGATGCAAGCAAGAGAAGCAAACGGAAAAGTTACTGTTTTCCGAGACACCAGTGTATTTTGTCTTCCACTTCCATCCAGGGCCACTTGCAAGAGGCAGAGGCTTGAGTATTTCAATGGACTGGGAGCCATGCACCTATGTAGATCATCGCATGAAGACAGATGGTTGGGACTTTAGGAGGAGAAGAAGGTTTAGAAGGGACTTACGGATTTACCCAGGTCTACTGGAGGCAATCCAGGAAGTGCGCTCGACTTCATCGTCTCCGCAAATAGATTTAGCTCCTGGCTGTCACCTTTGAAGGTCAATACCACAGGGTACGTGGGGAATGCGGCAAAATTGGGGTCTGCATGTGCGCGTCAGGATTTCTAGTGCTTGATACTGTGGGCATAAGTACTGACCAAGCTCTGTGGGGTAAAGTTAACGCAAGTCATGAAAGATATGAACGGAGTCAAGCATACCATAAATGAAAGAGAGATCATCGCTGTCGTCCTTTGCCCCAATCCCAAGTGCATACAGAATAAGATCCCGCTTCAGCCATGACACCTTTTGGCAGATTATTCGTTGTAATTATACGAACGATAGGATATTGACAATATTTTACTCACAGGACGATCAGGGAGTTCGTATCCAATCAATTTCGAGATTTCAGCAGCCATGTCTGTGTTGGAAGGAACGAGGTTGAGGTTAAAATAGCACAGAGCAGGTCATAAAATGCTAGTTCGGTCTTAACCTCGGGGACTCGAGAAACCGGGACGGCAACTTATACCAGCCGTTTAATCGTGACCCAGCGCAGGCTTCACCTCGAGCTCTTTACCTACCAACACTAGAACAGACGACACCATGAAAACATATGTGACAATGCTTGCATTACGTATATCCAACAACAACAAGAGCAGTCAAGTACATCATGTCAACTGATATTCCAACCTTAAAGCTTGCAGGCCCGATCATGAGGCGCAAAGACGTTCCGCACTACACAATATCAGATTCAGTACTTCATCCTCTTAGCATCTCCTCCCTCTTCCCGGTCCAATACCAAACCCTGTGCAGTAGTCTGATTGAACTGTTGTCTCGTGATACCAGCTCCCTGCGCTGTCATCAATCCCATTCCCTGAGCGTGTCTTCGATCTCGAGAAGCCGGAGCAGTGTTAACGGGTGTTCTGATTGGTAAGAGCATAGTTCAACGGTTAGAAATTGACGTATTCAGGAGATATGCAAACCTCATAGCTTCTGCCGGCCGTTTCATTCCAATCCCTTGCTGTAGTTGTTGAGGTTGCCGATTTAGCTACAACACCAGTCAGAAGAATAAGATGATCCGACTTTGATCGAGACTTGCCAAATCGGGCGGGAATGAGAAACCTCCCATTCGACGTGGAGCAGGAGTAGAAGTCGCGACGACGTTCGTTGAGTCTCTAGCTGTATCACTTGATATTGCATTCGGATGAGTTTGTCTATCAGGGGTATCTAAGCCTTTTGAAGCGATGAGAACAGGCCGCTGCGCTTGATGAGGAAGAATTTGGTTTCGTTGTCCATCTTTGTGTGGATGAAGTGGTGGTACCACTTTCGATGAATTGTGCGTCATGGCGGAACTCGACGTGGCAGAGGAAGATGACGAGGCAGGATTCAGACGAGTGGATTGGATGTTGTTCTGATGTGAAGCTGAGGTCAAGAGATGATTTTGGCCCCGCTTTTGATTTCCTCCGTTGCCTGACCCCTCCTCGAAGTCAATGGGCCTTCCTATATCAGCATTGCTTAGATCTACTGAGGCAAAGAAAGCATCATCTTCTGACCCAAGCGCAAAAGAATCATCGCCGGCCCCCACGTCTTCCAAAGATTCGCCTGGTGGTGCATGAAGCGTATTAGCTACGGCAGTCACTTTGTTCGCCAACGGAGAATCAGCAAACACAACTTGGCGGTGATTAGGGGTATCTTGTGCTTGCTGAGGTGGAACTAGGCGAGGGATCGGTTGAAGAGCAGCAGGCGTTGTAATAGGTGTATTTAGTCCATGTATGATAGCGGCGTGTCTGACTGCAGATCCTCGGTTGGAGGGAGCCGTTGTCGGCGTGGTAACATTGGGCAATATGTCAGATTTGGTGGCAGAAATATTTGGTCTGGGTGGGTTTGGAGGAGTTGTTGATGAAGACGATTCTTGAAGAGACAATCGAACCTGCTCACGAACGTGATGAGGGATAGAAGATATTGCTTTGCAGGGCGCCGGTTCGGACTTGACTGCTGAAGGGGTAGTATTGACTTTCGTGGCCGTACTGCCTGATGTGGCAGGCTTGCATGTGTTGTTCGTTGCTGGGCTCGGTGCAGCTTTATTCATGTCGGTCGAGAATTCCGGTCTACGATGGAGGTTTTCCTTGTCGAATTTGGGCTGAAAAGCGTACTGTTGAGTCATAAGGGCATCAATGACTTGGCAAGACATACTGGGGGGACCTTTATTTTGATG